AATTCGCAAATAATTCGTAAAATTAGTTTATTAATTCGTGTTCACTGTTTTTGGAACTAGATTGATTCGTAAATACGAATTAGCGAATTCGTATTACGAACTGATCTAGCGGTTGAAAATGGATCCAGGAATTGACAAATCCATTCTGCAAATTCATTGCGAATCGATGTGTACGCTTATTAGGCTACGTAGGGACAGGACGCATTTCTCTGAGGTGAAAAATAGATAGATTCGTCTCTTCTTATCAATTCGCATACTTCTCATCTCACTTCGCCGTTATTCGTAAAATACGGAATGTTGTGTAAATACTCACAGCCATCCTCACAGCCCCCGCCCCCAGCTCGGCGCATGCACTCAAAAGGGAGAGAGATTCTCCTCTGTTTTGTTTCGCACAGATACATGTACTAATATAGTCTATTGTCACATTTTTTGATTAATTCATTCAACTGATCAATTCGTATTCTACGAATTCGTAAAAATAACGGCGAAGTGAGGTGAGAAGTATGCGAATCGATAAGAAGAGACGAATCTATCTATTTTTCACCTCAGAGAAAAGTGTCCTGTCCCTGACATCAGTTCGTATTTTACCAATTCTATTTATGAATTCGTCGGTTATGCTTTGGCATCTATGAATTCGTAAATAGAATTCGTAAATTCGCATTTTATCGTATTTTTGCCAATGTACGAATTCTCGGGGACCAAAATGATCATTTCACGAATTCGTCGATGGTCGACCAATTCGATTTACGAATTCGTAGGTACCGGAAATTTGTTTCTTACGAATTCGTCCTAATTTACGAATTGGCAAAAGGAAGAAAAGACGCAATTTTTTGGTTCGGTTTTGATCATTTTTGTTAGTTCGCACTGAATTACGAATTCGCTGCGAATTCGCAAAACAATGGTAAAATGCGAATTGTTGCATCATTTTTACGCTCAAAAATTGCGATTCGTCAATTCGTCTTTAGACACTTTGTCCACACTAATGGCTAACTGCAGTTTCTACCAATCGATAGCCAAAGCCGAAGCACGCAGTTCTATGGAAACAAAATATTTATGATCTTATTTGGAAAGGCACATTAGTGTACGGACATATTCGGATGTATTTTCAGAAAAATTCAATTTTTGCCGAGGCAGTTCTTGAAGTATTTTCCACAACCATGCGCAATAGCAGCGCGTAAATTCCTGTTTCAGGGTACCACTAATTCCTACCGACTGCTCAAACATATAAAAAATATTTTGGACCAAGTTCATTTTAATACTAATTTTCGTCAAGACGGCTGATGCAAATGTCCCATCCCATGCAAGAGGAATATATTTCAAACGCAATGCAACATATTTTATCGCATTTGATGGTCCTAACTTTTCATTTAACACCTATGAAGATCATCATGACTAAGTCTGCGTAGAAAAGCTTCTGATCTACATTTCAACCGGAAATCAAAATTTTCAAACAAACAGCTGTTCCAGATTAGCGCTCTGCAGGTTAAATGTAACCTAACCTAACCTATAGGTTAGGATAGATTTAGGTTACGAAATTTTTTATAGGTTAGGTTGTAGGTCACGTTACTGATAACCTGTTTTTAACCTAAACGAAAAAAAAGATTTTAAACGACTACGTCAGAACAATAACAGAACCTTCGTAGCCTAAAGTCAGGGCTACGAACGGGTTGAGTTCTGGTCTACTCTTCAGAGGGTGTCCCTATTCAGAAAGCTATTTTCCAAAAATTGCATTAAAGAATAAAAGACTCAACCGATTCCTTCTATATTCACGTAAAATGTGATTTATTTTGTATAAGCTTATCTGTCAGACAGTGTTTACATAAAAAAACAATAACGATCTGGAACAAAGCTGAAGTTTAGCCTTTCGAAACCAGATTTAGGGAAAAAAGTGCAAAAGATTGTATAAGGTTAACCTAGCTTAAGTTATTAAAAACATTAATAGGTTAGATTAGGTTTAGGTTGTGAAACTCTTTATAGGTTAAGCTATAGGTTGTCAAAAAGTCGCAACCTGCAGGGCTCTATTCTAGATCAACAGACCTTTCAACTATTTTCAACCTTATTCTCTTACCATACAAACATGCACGTTCCGCAGAAGCGCTAAACAAAAGACAAAATCAACTCACCTATCTTATTACTGAAATCGAGAAATTTAGTAACATTTAGAAAACACAACAAAATTTAAGCAAACGTAGATAACATAAACACCGAAAAAGCGAATGCGTGAAATAAAAACATCAGTAACAAACAAGTACACCCGTATTCACATTCATTGCTTCTGCCAGTGCTTCACCTCCTCCATCAGATATTGTGTTCTTTGCAAGATTAAGAGTAGTGAGAGTTTTATTCACTTTCAATGCCTCTGCCAATACTTGCGCGTCTTCTTCGTCAATTCGGATACTCTGCAGCATTATTTCCGAAACGGAATCAAGGGCTTGCAGCTGACCTTCTAGTCGTTGGTTTTTGCATGATAGTTTGCCGGTTGGGGATTCACAAAGCACATATGGGGGAGTTGTTTCTTCAACGTGAATAATGTGTAAGTTCGAGCTAACATCTACTTTGCCTTTCACTTTCAAATATGTTCCCGGCAGCAGAAGAATTTCATTTTCTTGTTTATAATGTGAATGTGACTTAATCTGCTTTCCATGGTGGCACTGTACATTGAAGAGTGTTCTTGTACCTGTTTTGCCAAGAAATTGCTCTTTGCTCAGTACATCTATCGATTCTGTGCATGAACTAACACGTCATCACACAAATGTGCCGCCTTTATTGAACTTCATGCACAAATCAGCTTTTATTCCTCGCCATACCGCTTCTTCGACAGACGGTATGTTGTGAAGAGCTGTCAGAAATAGTTTCAGGTATGGAAACCATTGAATCAGACTGTCACGATCTTCGTTCCTTAGTGTTCGATTGAGAATGGAATAGAGACTGTTACTACTTGATTTCCACTCCATGGTGTACAAATGGATAGATGCTGATTGGTCAGCTGTTGGAGAATCAAGCGGTAATTTACAAATATCTTTTGCAATCCAAACATTTCTTGCTAAATTGTCAATTATGGGATGAAGTGATCGAACCGCATCTTCGAGTGGCGTCAGTTCCATATGTTGATAGTCTTCAATGGGTAATAAGAGCTTGTGGGGTTCTTCGCCAAGATCAGTAAATCTTGAATTCGAAGTGGATTTGTTTGCCATTGCGATAAACAGTGTCTGTTTGAGTAATTTTCACTTTCTGTGTGGTTGCTTATGAGAAAGAAGAGTTTGAATATTTTGTTTTTTCTACTTCTGTTTCTCCTCACTTGCATTTCAAATGACTTCTGTAAATTTAGAAACATTCTGTTTCAAAAGCATGTGAATCAAGAACAACTGAGAAAGAAAGTAGAAGTATGATCGGTACATTTTCTGTCACGGTTTACACTACCATTTGTTAATTGTATCTTGATGTGCACCACACTAACGTAAAATAGACATCTATTTTTCTCCATTTGCATAATAAAAGCCGCCCTACTGTGAAAAGAAACCTCTTAATCTAAGGAAACCCATAAGCATCCATAATGAATGTACTTAAAACCAGTACTTCGGTTAACTAAAGAGAATAGTACTTGTTCCAAGTAAATTGTAGGTACTTGTCTGACACAATGCAAGTAAAGGACCTCGCCGGATAAGACCTCAAATCTCCTCCCTCTGTAACGGCTCATCGTCATTACATGGGAAACATAGATTTCTTAATAAAACACCATGAAGTTTTTGGGCAAAAATATGGACTTCCTCAGGAAAAAACCTGAAGTTCTTGTGGAGAAACGTGGATTTCTTAGTGAAACACCATGAAGTTCTGGTGGAGAAACATGGAGTTCTTCAGGAAAAGAACCGAAGTTTTTGTGGAGACACATGAATTTGTTCTTGCAATTCTTCTGCGGAAGCATTGACTCCTCATGGGAAAAGCATGAAATTCTTGTAGAAAAAAATGGATTACTTCATGAAAAAACATGAAATTTTTTTTCCTGTTTCCTTTTCGAGAAACACGAATTTGTTCACGAGAAATCATGGACTTTTTGTGGAGAAACGTGAACTTCTTCAGGAAAAAATCTGAAGTTCTTGTGGAGAAACATGAATTTGTTCACGAAAAAGCATGCAGTTCTGTTGGGGACACATGGACTTCTTCGGCAAAAAGCATGAAACTATTGTAGTGAAACATGGACTACTTCAGGAACAAACCTGAAGTTCTTGCGAAGAGACATGGACTTCTGCAGGCAAAAAGTTGAAGCTCTTGTGGAGAAACATGGATTTCTTAATGAAAAACCATGAAGTTTTTGCGCAAAAACATCGATTTCTTCAGGAAAATAACTGAAGTTCTTGTTGCGAAACATGGACTTCTTCAAAAAGAACCTGAACTTATTATGCAGAAATATGGGCCTCTTCGGGAAAAAATTCTTGTGCAGAAACCTGGATGTCTCAGTGAAAAACCATGAAGTTCTTGTGGAGAAACATGGACTGCTTCGGAAAGAAACATGTAATTCTTGTGGAGAAACATGAATTTCTTAATGAAAAACCATAAAGTACCTCCGAAAAATTATGCACTTCTTCACGAAAAACTGACGTTATTGCAGGGAAACATGGATTGCTTAGTGAAAGACGACGAAGTTCTTGTGAAAAAAATGGATTACTTCATGAAAAAACATGAAACCCTTTTGGAGAAACTCGGCTTTGTTCACGAAAAATCATGGAGTTATTGTGGAGAAATACAGATTTCTTCACGAAAAAACATCCAGTTCTTTTGGGCAAACATTGACTTCTTCCCTAGTGGAAGTACTCATACGATGAGTACGACTTTACTCATAATTCGTCCATGAGTACTCATATTGGTACTACTAACAATTTCTGAGTATTGTTACTCAGTGAGTACTCAGGAAATATTCATTCACCGTTTTATT